GAGGAGGAGGAGGGAGGGAGCTTACCGTTGCACCAATGTAGTCAATCTTTTACATAAAATTTTACCCCATCAACTAATGATGCTTAAGTGAGTATGTATTTGCAAATGATACTAATCTAAGAAACATAATTTTTTAAAAATGTTTTTGAACTTATATTTGCACTCTATGCATATAGTATCATCAAATATGATCAAAATTTTGTGAAAATAATGAATTTCATGTATTAAATAGTTTTTTTTTTAAATTCATAATTCTTGATCAAGGAGAATATTAACATAAACTAACCTAAGTCAATGCTTATATTACAACTATATTAATTTTAGCTTGATGTAAACACGAGGTGCGAGTAAGTCTTTTTTCAGGTTGGGGTATGTGTTTTTCTGATTTGTAGCGAAGTGAAGGTAGTGAAAATCTCATCTTTCTGAAAGAGGACAACAAGAGCCCTCTTTTACCCTTTTCGAGAATTAAGTTATCCTTCTTTGCATAAGGGAATAAATTTAGTCATTAGGTGATAGCTTATGATCTTTCTCTAGCTATACAGTTTCTGACATATTTTTGTGCATATTTTCATTGGCCAGGAAAACTATTTAACCATAGTCTGTTATAGTTGTTTACTGTTATACTCTAGTCAATTTTCATATGTATAATGTATGATTTGATCACTAGATTTGTCTGTGTACTTGGACTCTGGACGCGGAGATTACCTCTCTTCTTCAGTAAAGCAGTATATTCAATACCTCCTCAAGGTATCAAAATTGGCTATCTTATTATATTCGAGTTTGGCTACAACAACAAATCCATGATGATAGGGATATTTCCTCTTTTCTGAAGGTATATGCCTTTTACAGGTGAATATGGAGGTGGCATATGGAACAGAATGGCCTAAAGAAGAGAAAGTAAAGCGCAGGGAGATGGTTTCTTCTGAAGCTCGTTATATATTTGTCTATGAAACCGTAAATGCGGATGCCAACATTATGTTCAAATTATCAAAGAAAGGAAGGAGTAATGCAGACGGTACGGATGATAAGGGTCATCTTGTGGCTTTTGTACATTATCGGTTCACCATCGAGGAAGAAATTCCTGTTCTTTATGTGTATGAATTACAGCTTGAGCAACGTGTTCAGGGGAAGGGGTTGGGAAAGTTCTTAATGCTGCTAATTGAGCTGATTGCTCAGAAGGTGATAGACTAATCTTTCCTCATTCTAGTCACAGCACTGCTGAAAATTTCTGTAGTATGTTTCTTCCCCCATGGAGATACTTGTCTTGCAGTAGAGTGGACATGTTCAAGTGCTAACGAAAGCTATCACTTTGCAGAGCAAAATGAGTGCCTTGGTGCTAACTGTCCAGAAGGCAAACATGACGGCAATACACTTTTATAGGAATAAGCTAAGGTGATGTATTAATATGTTAGATTAGCATTTTATTTCCATTTAGCAGATGCCATTTACATGATGATGGTATTGAAATATCAATATGTGAAGCAAAAAAAAGGGCAGCCCGGTGCACTAAGCTCCCGCTATGCGCGGGGTCCGGGGAATGGCCGGACCACAAGTATCTATCGTACGCAGCCTTACCCTACATTTCTGCAAGAGGCTGTTTCCACGGCTCGAACCCATGATCTCCTGGTCACACGGCATCAACTTTATCAGTTATCAGTTTCAATATGTGAAGCAACAAAATTATAATAACCTTAGGTAGCTACACTTTGAGTATAAGTAAAGCATACTTTTTTACTTTTATAGAAAACTAGACTATTCGTCCTCTTTCTTTATGCTGTACCAATAATCAAATTCACTAACTGTCATCTGGAATCAATAAGTATCATTAAGTGGTTCCATATGTAAGATTCGCCAAAGATATATCCTCTGTAATTGAAGTAAGCTTGTCATATCTTGGCATAAGATGTTGGATAGCATGCTAAAGGGGAAGATGCTAACAGAAAAATTGTTGAAGTTTCAGGAGATTTCTGTGTCTGACTCTTGCTTTTTGGAATGAACATATAAAAATACAACAAAATATTTTATGGTTAACTATTCCAAACTGATGTATTGGACATGCTTGTATGTGTTTTGGATGACTCAACAAGTCAAATATACCAATGGCCTGTTACATAATCTGTTCCAGTTTGTCTTCCTCTCATTATTAGATAACAGATGCTTATCTCTAACCTGAAATATACCAATGGCCTGTTACCATAACTCGTGTATGTCAATATTCTGCAGGTACCTGATATCTACCATGTCACCTTCACAGGTAGATCGACTGTCTGCGATAATTCAGTTTTCATCACAATTTGCTTAAGCTTTTCATTCTTCTTGTTTGGTACTGCAGATGGGATTACAGTCAAATTATGAGATTCTTTGCAAGTCATTTGATTCTGAAACTAAAGCTGTACTAGAGGTGTGCAATCCCTTTTCCCTTGTATTAAATATCAAACCAAAGAGGACTCAAATAAGATTTGACATCTCACATGCACTCAAAATTCTCCCAAGAATTCATGCATCCGATTACTGTATCAACTGGTAATGCTTAAATTCTATTGTAGGAGTATTATGCCAAAATTTTCTAAACTGTTGCTGCTTCATTCAATCAGTTACTAGGCACTCTTGTGGATTAAATCTGAATACATGTAAAACTACTGAATGCTGCAGATGAAGTTTCTCACATGGAACAAACTACAGTCTATGTTATGGTCAAGGTTCCAGTTCTGTAATTTCTTTTCGGTTCAATGATCGAAAATTTTCTTTTTCTCTCTTGGTGATGTTGTTTTGTCATATGTATGGCCACTGGTGCATTTCCATGAAATGCACAGTGTTCTCCTAGTGGGTAGATGAGGTGCACAATCATTTAGGATTATAGGCGCATTCTCCTGACAAATTATCTTTTTCTTTTCTCTAAAATATCTGTCCATTGAAGGAGTGAAGATAACTGCGTACAAGGTGATTCAAAATCCGTCCTGCAAAGCATCTTACAAAGTTCTAGCATGTCAGCTTGACGATAATGAAACCTGTGAAGAGGTAGCATAATGTGAATTATGTAATAGAAATTGCAAAGAGTATGGTTGCTGAAGTAGCATTATGTTCTAGTAGATGTTAATTGATTATTAGGCCTTAAGCATTTTCAGTAAATTATTCGGTGTATTTGCCGAACATAACAAGTTGTATTATTTATTCTCCATCAGGACCATCACTGTCTTTATGTTCTTTATATATATGCTTGCCTTTTGCAGTTTCCATGCATTGTGATACTTTACTTTAAAGCTTTTCCAGTATAGTCCACATCTGGGGCCAAATAGAGCATCGAGCATAAAAGCCTCTATTGAATCTTGTTCATTGAGTGATAAAACTGAACTGTTGATTTCTATAACAGGTTCGCCGCACTTGAAAGAGCGAACATGTATACCAACAAATATGTCACAGTACCTAAGACATAAATTATTCGGTGTAGTTACTTGGTCTTACGTGTAATCTTCCTTATTAACAAGGACGACTATTCATAGGAAAGGAGCTCCCAGCTCGCAGCTCGTTGAACCTTGTCGCAGAGTTTTTCCATCCATAATTTTTGCAGCGTGCTTCTGTCAAAAGTATCGCAAAGCATTTTCTTTGGTATTCTGCCGATGCCAATCCCCCGTGCAAGGTGCCCGTAGTTGAGAATGGCTAGTGGTAATAGTATGATAAATACTTATCTACAATTGGTATTTACACGAAATCCGTTAAGTGATTTGTATTCTTACGTGACTGATGGTTGAGATCCTATCCTCACTCGTTAATTGAGCAAAACATATGGAGTAATAACAAAGAGATATCCAGAGGAGTAGAGGCCGTAGTTCGAATCGTAATATCAAAATTCAATTATCAGCGGCTCCATTGACAAATGCAGATGTAAAGTAAAACTAGCTAGTGTAGATGCACCCACTATCTCCGACTCAAGTTGTATATATATAGTTAGAGATGGCTCGCGCCGAATTTATTGTCACAAAGAAGTAGCCCATGCGATAGTGCGCATTCACTGGACTGAATTCTTTGATTTGCCTGTGCTAATTGAAGTTTTTCTACTAACTAGATTTTAATATATATAGACAGATAGTATGAAAACATGCTTTATTTTCAAGATTACAAATTTCAGCTTTTATGGAGGGTTACATGTAGATAATAACTTTGAGTGACTTGATATTAATAAATACTTTATCATTGTATATAAGTTAAACTCTAAGTATTAACTATATATAAAAAAAATATTTAAGGGAGAAAAGGTCAACCGCATCAGTATAATTCAACGCATACCAAGAGGCAGGGGCATGCAAAAAAAAAAAAAAAAAATATCAAATGAAAGGAGAGCCACGGGTATAATGAAAGGAGAGCCACGGGTAAAATCAACGCATACCAGTATAATTGTTTTCATAAAATAAGTAGGAGCCAAATATGGTCCAAAAGCCACGCTAAAGGAAAAGTAATTAAGGACAGCCCTTGAATTGTTTGATTCTCCTTCCTTGTAGGAAACTTAATTAACGGTCCTTGTTTTCCTCCTCCACCTTCAAAAACATCTTTCTCTCATACCAATTTCCTTCCTCTTGATCTCCATTTCCATTATTTACTCAACACATACACACCAAGTGTGTTGAACTTCTCTATCTTACCTTACTACAATGGCCTACACACATAACTCTTCCCGGAAACCTTTGATCCCCACTTTTCTTTATGGCACGGCTTCTTCTTCTTCTTCACCATTCTCTGTATACAGAAATGTGATAACTGAGTTGGATACATCATCATCAGCGATGGCGAAGAAGCCTTTTGTGGTTCCGGCACCAAAGGAGTCTTCAGGTAAGATAGAGATGTTCTCACCTGGTTATTACGCTGCTTGTACTTTTGGAGGTGTTATGAGCTGTGGTCTCACCCACATGGCCGTCACCCCCCTCGATCTTGTCAAGTGCAACATGCAGGTACTTTTCTCTACCCTATCATATGACCATTTCCTTTACTTAGATGTAGAATCTGAATGAGTGCAATCTTGACATACCTATACACTTTAAGTTGTATATGATTCTTGAAGAACTATCTAAGAACGTGAAGAATATTAAATTATCAATTTTTGATTAAATTGCTGATTGTTAATTTGAATTACCGGATGACACTTGATTATGTAGATGGTCTGAGGTGAATCTAGAACGGGTTTTATATATGTGTGTGCGTGCTCAGAGGTGGATCCAACATTTAAATCCTATGGGTTCAACTTTCAAGGTTTTTAGCATTGAAACCCTTATATTTTTAAAGTAATAGGTTCCTATCTACTATTTTTGCAATTTTGATGAATTTTTACTCCACACCGAAAGTTATGTTTGAACCCGTAGGTTCAATACTACATTCGCACCTGTGTGTGCTTGCACAAAAAAGTTTTAAAAATGTATAATATGGTATATGAACCCACAAAATTTAAATTGTAGATTTGCCTATGTGGACAACGGTAAATGTCGCAGCACAAATCTGGTGTATTTTCCTTATATTAATATAAGAGTACTGTTTTACACCATTCTGTAAATTCCTTTGTAACAGTTTATGTTGCTTTTTCTTTTTGGTTACTAATGTACTTACTATTGTTGTTTGAATTACTAGATTGATCCTGCAAAGTACAAGAGCATTTCCTCTGGTTTTGGTGTTCTGCTCAAAGAGCAGGGTGTTAGAGGCTTCTTTCGGGGTTGGGTTCCTACCCTGATTGGTTACAGTGCTCAGGGAGCTTGCAAATATGGATTCTATGAATATTTCAAGAAGTATTACTCAGATCTTGCCGGCCCAGAGAATGCTGTCAAGTACAAGACTTTGATATACCTTGCTGGTTCTGCATCTGCTGAGGTTATTGCTGATGTTGCTCTCTGCCCTTTCGAGGCTGTCAAAGTGCGCGTCCAAACTCAGCCTGGTTTTGCCCGAGGCTTGTCTGATGGGCTTCCTAAATTTGTTAAGGCTGAAGGAGCTGCAGGGTAATGCCTGTTATGTCGATGAATTCATTGTTGTGTTACTGCATGTATTGCATATTGCTAATGGAAATTTGGCTGTTGAATTTTATGTATACAGGTTATACAAGGGGCTTACTCCTCTCTGGGGACGACAGATACCATGTTAGTTTACGTATCTTTTCTTCTCCAATTTATTTGGAAGAACTCAAGCTTTATACACACACACACACTCAAAGCCGAATCAACCACTACATAATTTGAGTTCTACTGATTCACTCTTTCTTTCCCCTTTCGCTGTTTGTGAACATTTTATTGAGCTATTTTAAGTTCATATCTTGCATAGTATGTTCAGACATACCAACTTTAGCGATCACGCTCTGTGATACACCAAGTGAATAAGAACAATTACTGCTATCCTGTTTCTATCGCAATTATATAATCTTTGCCTAGACATTCTACCTCACATGGAATTCCATGTGTACAGACACGATGATGAAGTTTGCATCATTTGAAACCATTGTGGAACAACTGTACAAACATGTCATCCCAACACCAAAAGAGCAGTGCAGTAAATCTACGCAGCTTGGTGTGAGCTTTGCTGGTGGATATTTAGCTGGTATTCTTTGTGCTATTGTGTCACACCCTGCTGATAACCTCGTTTCTTTCCTCAACAATGCTAAGGGGGCAACTGTCGGCGATGTGAGTAGACACAGATTAATTGGTTGCATCCTTTAAAATTATTTGTTCACATTTAACTAGATTATATTGTGCATTTTTGCAGGCTGTGAACAAGCTAGGCGTAATGGGTCTTTGTACTCGCGGTCTTCCTCTTCGTATAGTCATGATTGGTACACTCACTGGAGCACAATGGGGCATCTATGACTCTTTCAAAGTTTTTGTTGGCCTGTGAGTTTCTCCTTCTTTTCTTTTCTTTTCAGTTGTCTAATATTACGTTTGTTTGATATGACGAAAGTCAAAGAAAATGACGTTCCCCATTTATGGGCAGAAGTCATTTCCTCATGACTATCTTAATTTTTAGCTTTATATTACTTGCTTCAACTAGCACTAAACCAATATCACTAATCTTTAGTACTCAAGAATTTCATCAAAGTACTCCCGCATTTGCTAATAACATCTAATATATATTCCTTTTTTTTTTGTTTCAAATTATATTTTTATTCACCAACCAAACTTTTGAAAACATTTTTTATGAAAATATTTTTCATGGGCAATCACTTTCGTCATACCAAACACACGTCATGTTTTCTCAAAATCATCCGCCGCACTCCTCCAACTTCTGTATTTCCTAGCTTATTCCTTTCTAATATGACTACCATAATCAGATAAAAGAATATCTTATGACTAATTATAGTTAATTTCTTGAAATGATGTTTACACCCATTGCTCTTGCAGGCCAACGACCGGTGGTGCAGCTCCATCGAAGCGAAGAGGAAAATGTGAATAATTTATGATGAAAATTCTTCTCCAGTACTCAATATCTCTTTCATTTACTGGCAGAGGGAAAATGGAAATATTTTTCCATCTTAAAGTTTGTTTGAACAGTGTAGGAAATTTTGTGCATTAATTCAAGCTTTGCAGTAAGATCTAATATTTTGTTGGGAGGATGAATTATCCTCAAGATGGTTGGTTACTGAAGAAGCATTTTGTAATGATGATTTTTGATTTTACAATAATATGTTAATTCCTTGTTTTCACGTGATAATTATTTTATTTATCTCTTGAAAATCTGAGCGTAATTCGTAAAAATGCTAAACTTCTGATTGTTTGACCAAAAAGTGTTGAACCTTATGATTAAATCAATTAATAATGAAAAAAGGGGTGAATCTTAATTAAAAATAATAAAATCTAGATTATATATTAAATGATGTAGGCAAGATGAAAGATGTTTAGCTAATATGTTGAGCCGATTAGGTGCTCATGAATGCTACAATATAAATGTGCAATGAATATAGATAAATATGGCTAACGTAATATAAGAAAGTTATTACTCAATTATTGTGATCTTTTGGGAAGCCACTTCCCCTGGCAATAGTGTAGAAAAGAAGGAGGTATCAGATGCTTGAGGATTTCTCGGATCTTGTCAGTATAGAACAATAATGTATGCTTTGAGTTATGTAATCAAGAATCAGGCCACTCTTGCACATTTATGCAATCAAGAATCAGGCCACTCTTGTATATTCTTTCAGATAAATCTTTTACAAAGTGTTCTTTTGTCTCTTTTTCCGGATCCCCCCTTTCTTTACTAACTCTTCCTATTTATAAGGGACAATCTCCCAAGAAACCCTAAAAAGTACAACATAAAGAATATTCGAAAAGTATATTCTTACTGTCTCCTACTAGGTTTACACTACCGTTGACATCTTATCTCGACTGACCGCTCTTGGTCGTCGTCCTTCATCACGACGACCATCAGACGTTGCGTCACGATAACCTCCGTATTTGCCACATACGTGTGTTCGGTCCTCTAAGGCCTGTTAGAGATCTCTTCAACCTGCTCATGGCTAGATCGATCGGTTTCGGGTCAAATAGGAAGAACTAGAAGATTCCACCTCCTTCCCTTGTGCTTTTATACACATGGAAGTACCTTTTCTTATCAATTCGCCTTCATAAAAAATATAGTAAAATTTGGTGACTACTATTTTAGTGTTCACCCTCTCATCCCAAACTTACCCTTTTTCCACGGAAGCCCTTCCCTCACTTTATTGTTCTTCATGAGTGGGAAGAAAACAAAATCTTTCTTATCCAATACCAATCCGGGAATACTAGGCTAAGCATGTATCCTAGCCGCTTCACTCGTCAAAAACAGGCGTTCCTCGTCCTATTCGGTAGCTGTCGTAGTTGCCAAATTTGGACCCATACAGTTAGTCCCTCTGCTTGTTGAGGTCGTGGCCATATACATCCTCGATAAGCGGACATCACCTTTACCCACAGAGAAATTTGGCTGTTGAATTACACCGGTTTGACCAGGAAAGAATGAGTGGTGCGTTCCACGGTATCCTGGATGGCGTAGCTTATCGGGAAATGATGTCACTCCCACGTGCGTCATCATTAGGCGTCTTCCCGAGGGAGAGACTGATTGCTTGTCGCTTTGGTTTTGGTGCCATTGGTAGACCTCCGTTTCGATTCTAGCACCACCCAACACTATAAATAGGTGAAGGTTTTATTTTTTCAAGAACTTTTAGCCATTTTCTTTCTTGTGTATGTATTGTCTTTTTTGGTCATCTCTTCTTGGGTCTTCAACTCTATTTTCATGATTCTTCTTCTCATCTTTTCTGTTCATTCTTTATTTTGTGTTTTACCGTCATACCTTCTTCCATCAAGATGCCCAGAATGCATCGGTCACACGAAGAAATTTATGACGCCACCCGTTATTCATGGTACCTCCTTCCGGTGGTGAGGATATGGCAGTGGAGGAGGGGGGCAACTTTTCCACCATGGAGGAGATACTCCCGAGAAACCCTATGTCCCGGAATGATTTTCACAAAGAACCTGCCTCTTCCCCCGTCCCGATGGTTTCTGAGACTGAGCATGCTCATATGACCTTTGGTCTACGTACAACATTCCTCCCCATGTTGAGATGGTTCCGGTTGGGAGGGATCTCGTGGATGTCCATTGACTGGGATATTGTGCTTTTTACGTATATCCTTTTGTAATTGGCCATACCCTCCCTCTCCTTCCGTTGGCGGAGGAATTCTGTCGGTTCTACGAGGTCTGCCCGATGCAACTATCTCCGTATACGTATAATTTTTCTAGTACTAACGAAGTATGCAGAGTTGGCGGGGCGTGAAATTGGCCTTCATCACTTTTTACATTTGTTTTCCTCGAGTTTTCATAGAGGCACTATGATACACTTGAGGCATCATGGGACTAGGAGCTGGTGGTCAGAACGGACGACCGAGAAAGTCGTAAATTTTGGCATAAATACTTCTTCATTAGAACCGAGCACCTGGTGTCGGACCCAACTGGATTCCCAAAGCGGTGGAATTGTAACCGTAGGTGCTAGTACTCGTTGTTTACTTTCGTTCTTTCCAATTTTGTACTTATTTGTAACTTTCCCGTATAGCTATGGGGCGTACACCCCATCCCATTATCGGTATTGAAGACTGGGTAGCTCGCATACTTCCTTATATGGAGAGGACTCGAGATTGGCCTGCTTTCCTTAAACGCTTTGGATCGAAAATTCCATCCGGTATGTGTTCCTTTTGCTTTTAACCTTTGGCTATTGGCTGTCGTTTATTGATACGACCTCTTCATGATGATAGGTCGTAAGTCTTCCAAGAAGAAGGCTCCAGTCCCGGCATTTTGCCATGCCATCGCGTCAGCAAGGATGCAGTTTTCCCTAGCCGAGTCTGTCCGAGGAGGCCGTGCTCAATCCGTACCGGCTAGAGACTCTTCTTGTGACGTCGTTGTACGGGAAAAGATCTCCTCTCGACCCATCTATCACCTCATGGATGATTCCTCTAACGAGGATGAATCACCGTCGAGGAAGAGGAGGAAGGTAGAGCTTGGGAAGGCCGTCGCCTCTAATACTGGAAATAACAGAACTGATGCTGCGGGGCGGCGTCTTTGCCTAGGTCAGGCACAAGTGCAGTTCTTATGGCGGATGCTATTTTGGCAGGGAGGTCCCCCGCGACCGAAGGAATATATCGGGGTGGGGGGGGGATCTGTACAATTTGCTGAGTGTGATGCATCGTCTGCCGTCGGAGGAGTGGCATATTTGGAGTGGCATACTCACGTAGAGGTGAGGACGGAAGGTCCTGATCGACACATAGTCATCCCTGTGGACTATGATTTGTTGGCGAATTGCGAACAGGAAGCACCGACGTTTGCCCCTTTATGTGCTGCTTCCGAGAGCACGATGCTTAATGCAATGAGTGATGTAGACCTGTCGCGGAGCATTTCTGGCATGGCTCTACAGGTAAGCGTTTATCTCTTCTCTTTGTTTCTGGGTTCATTTTCTATACTTAACCCCTTCCTTGTTTTGTATTTGCTTTGCATAGTAGACCCTCATCATAGACGCTGAGCGCAATCGGAGGGATAGGCAGAGGACGACCGTTTTTGGGAGAGTGGCCTCTAAATATAAGAAATACCATACCAAACATCGTGCATTGGCCAACCTCTTCACTTAGGACAATGATTTTGAGCTATTCCATGACGGACTCAAGCAGAAGAAGAAACAGTTGGCGTAGAAAATCGAAGAGCTGAAGGAGCGGGATGATGACCTGATGAAGGCCATTGCCCGATGCAGTGAACTTGAGGCGGCTCTTAAGGCCAAAGAAGATGAACGCGATGAGTAAGGGGGTGATGGCTGAGAACACCGATCTTCAAGTGCAGAATACTGCCTTAACGACTGAGCCTGATAGGAAGGCGGCGGAGGCTGTCGACCTTAGGGGTGAGCTGAACGCTAAGGCTGATGGATTGACCCATGCTGAATGGGATAGGGCGACTGCCATCTCAAAGGTAGTGGCTTTAGAAGACGCCACTCATGTTTGTAGATCAGAGCGGGACAAGGAGGCGGAGGCATCTGCGCTTGAGACAGCAAGGTTTGAGGGACGTATCCGAGATATGGAGGCGAAGTTGTCCATGTTAAACGATCAAGTTGTTGCTTTGAAAGCGGAGGATGTGTGATGGCAGTCACAACCCTCTACCTCTCATGCATCGGTCGACCCTGTCGTGCCACGAGATTTATATGAGATGTGGGTTCATGCCGAAGCTCAACTTGACATGTATAAGTCTCTTCGTGCCGACGAGAAAGTGTCTCAGGCAGAATTTCGAGATGTGCGTATTAAAGCACGTGCCACTCGTGAGGGTGTAGTTAAGACCCCAGCACGCCCGGCGAAGACGATGTTGACTATGATGATGCAGACAAGCTTGCCTCTGATTCTTGGTACAATGAGGAGTATGCCACGGGGGATGATGTGGCGTAGGACTTGGTTGCATTTATTTTTGTTTTGCTATTTTGTGGGGGCATCCTTGAGCCCTTTGTAAAAAACTTTTGTAATATATCAGCTGTAATGGAGCAGTTACTTTTTGTTGTGTACCTCTGAAATGTTTTCTCGTTGTGTGTTTTCTTGTTGCGGTGGGCCCCTGGACTGCCCAGCATGGTGTGATATTTTATTGTAATCCGGGCGACGCCAGATGTCAAGTAATCTGTGTGACGTCGACTATTAAATGATTTGAGCAAGGTCGAGCTCTTTTCTTTGGCGACGACCTTAGCCGTAGGGGTGTTATTTCGAGCTGGTCGAAATGTTAACCCGTTGTGGTTCGAACGAGGTCGAACTCTTCTTTTTGGCGATGGCCCTTGGCCATAGGGGTGTTATTTTGGGCTGGTCAAAATGTTAACCCCTTATGGTTCGAACGAGGTCGAACTCTTTTCTTTGGCGACGGCCTTAGTCGTAGGGGTATTATTTCGAGCTAATGTCGAAATGTTAACCCATCGAGGTTCGAGCGAGGTCAAACTCTTTTCTTTGGTGACGGCCTTAGCCGTAGGGGTGTTATTTCGAGTTGGTCGAAATGTTAACCCGTTGTAGTTCGAACGAGGTCGAACTCTTCTTTTTGGTGATGGCCCTTGGCCGCAAGGGTGTTATTTCGAGTCGGTCAAAATATTAACCCGTTGTGGTTCGAACGAGGTCGAACTCTTCTTTTGGCGATGGCCCTTGGCCGTAGGGGTGTTATTTTGAGCTGGTCAAAATGTTAACC